TAAGGATAAATATCACTTCCAGAATATTCACCATTGTACTTCCAAAAGTTGAGGAAGACATATGGCACCAAGTAGTTATTTGGTAAATATATGTTTAGTGGATGAATCAAGGAAGTAAGTACTATTGGTTGTATGAAATGATCCAAAGTTGAGGCTAAATTCATGGAAAGGAATTGACAGAGGGATGAAGATAAATTTGAAGTGTGAAGACAGCTGTGGGAATGTAGTGGAAATAAACCTTGGACCACGCTCTCAAATATATAAGAAATTACATATAAATTTATGTTTATACTAGTAAATCAACCTAGCTTCAACTTTGAGAATTTCACCCCCCTTCCCCACCCCCAGTTGTGGAAAACTTAACCTCAATTATTCTTGGGTTTCCTTGTCCTGCTTCAAGATGGGCCAGGGTTCAAGGGTTTGATTTAGGGCCAAGGCAAGGGCCTCTGGTTGTTGAGCCATTTGTCTACTTTGGTTACTTCTGGGGAGTGTTCACTGACTCTCCTCACGCAGTTCCTCCAGATCTGGGCTCCCTGCTGCTTCCCTATTTCTTTTGAAACATGGGAAAGCTTTATGAGGGTTGTTTATGGGCCCATCTTTTTTGAGACATGAGGCAGTTCTTACTCTCTCAAGCTTTTCTGCTTCTGCTGTGTGCTGCAGCATAACCAGAAACATAGGTGCTTGACTCCCCAAGTAGACTTTTTTCTCTAAGTCTCGTGGTCTATGGACTCTACCTTCCCTGAGCTGCCTATCAAACACACTTTTATACTTCCCTTCTTTTCAGAGGACTCAGCAAAACCCTGTGAAACAGATTTAGGCTTTACATAAACTAAGGCATGGAGTAGATATGGCTTTTTTCTCCCCCATTTTTCCTTTCCAAACACAAAGTTTGGCTATCTTTTTGAAAATATGAAGAACAGACTGAATAGGATAAATGAGCACAATTTAATATTTCCTAAGCCTATCCTGCTAATAGGAATTCAATAAGTTTGTGCCACAGTAGAGGCAAGAAGTGCAATTCTGCTCATGTCACTCTTAACACACTACAGTGGCTTCCTACTGCTGTTAGGACACAAATCAAACTCCTTGACCTAGTCCATCACACACTGCCTGCCTCTCTGGCCTCATCATGCACCACAGTCCCTCTCATTCTCTCTACTAAAGCCACACCGGTGCTTCGTTGTTGAAAAAGACCTGCTCACTTTCAGCACATGATCTGCATATTGACAGGTACCTCATTTGGCTAACTCCAAGTCACCCATCAAATTGCAGCTCTCCTGGTATTATTGTAGGAAATGTTTCCCCACTGCCACCTATTGTAGACACTCACACCTTTCCTGTATACTACTTGTCCATGATGGTCACTTTCTCTCATAAAATGAGAAATGCAAGGGAAAACTACAATAAAATAACATTTAATCTGTCAGATTAGTGCGATTGTAAAATGAATACAACTTCCTGGAGGGTAAATTGGCAATATTTAAATATCATTTGACCCAGAGAAATTCCAGAAATGGATCCCACGGATACATTTGCAGAGTAAAAAATGACAGATTCATAAGTTTTTTCTTTGCAGCATCTTTTTTTTTGGTAATAGAGAAAGACTGGAAAAATTAAATGTTCATCACTTGTAGACTAGTAAAAAATACCATGATATATCCATTCAATGGAGTACTATGCAGCTGTTAAAAAGTAAAGAAATTTCCTAAATACTGAGATGAGAAGATTTTCCATTTCTACTTAGTAAAAAAAATGCAAAATGCAGAACATTGTGTATGGTATGTTGCCTTTTGTATAAAAAGAGAAAAAGTAAAGTAATATATACATATACATGTATTTAATTTATCTGCATATGCATAGGAAACTCTGGAAAGATACTCAAGAAACTAATAAAAATGATTACCTACATTTTGGGGAAAAGATTGTGCTGGGGTTCTTGTTCCAGCATCTAGAAGGGTTCAGCAATCTGGACCAGGGCTGTGTGTAACTTAATAAAGAGTCCAGAGACGAAACATAATTTTGAAAGGCATTTGGGGGTCAGAGGAGCCTAGCTAAAGTAACTAAGATCTCCTCATATCAGGACCCCTTGTTTTTATTAACACAATCTGTCCTAAGGTGAGGTGGAGATATACACTTCAAAGGGTAGGGTTTCCTATACACAGTCCATTGTCAGAATGGAAGAATTTGCCTACAGCTGTTCAGGTGTTTGGCCAGTAGGAGGCAATAACATGTAGATTGAGATGACCTTAGCTGTCTGGCAGCAAGCAATCAATTTATGCATCCCTTTCAGGTTTTGGGAAATGCCATCAGCCATTCCCAGATGATTTAGCCCTTGCTGAGTCCCCAAGTTCCATCAACCTTTTGATGAAACTCTTGCAATTATGACATGCTGGAATTGGCTTCTGGCAGGATTGGAAGTAGGAGGATGAAGAATAGGATAGGATGTAAGAATAAAAGTAATGAAAATATTTAATGATGTGCTTGTGTATCAATTATATTATACATCACTATGCATGTGGCATACATTTAAAATTCATTATTGAAATGCAAAATTAATTAAACAAAAGCAATTTTCTATTATTTATCTCTCCATGAAATAGGGATATAACAAAGGTTGCTCAAGCAAAACTAGGTGGTTGGTTATTACTTTAACAACTGCCTATATTTTCATTACAGTCACTGAATTAGATTCTCGTGCTCTTTTTATATGTCATACCCCTAAATCAAACTAGACAAATGTTAGGCACTGTTTCCTTTTGAAGAACCCTACGTGATAATCTTTACTTCCTAAGGTTATTTTTATTTTTAATTTTTAAGCATATTTATTTTTAAAGTCAATTTTTAAGAATAGATGCAAGAATCCTTTATTTTACAAATTTAAAGAAGTCTTCCCAATTAAAAACGGAGTTAACTCAATCTGGAAACAATAAAAGAGACATTACTTCAAAATATTTCTGTGTTTAGCCTATCACTATATATACATTAAAACAAGAGCAATAAATATTTGTCAACATTATTACTATTAAGAATTTTAAAAACATAGAGGGTTAACCCATCTATACATAACATATGTTACTCTTGGTTTCTGGAGAATCCCTCTTGAAGTATAAGAATAATAAGGACATAAATGAGGTTCTTTATTACAGACTTGGTGCTAGTGAAGCAGGTTGTGGGCCCATCTTGAATTAATTATTCTCCATTAAGGAAATTGATAATCAAATGATTTAAATATAGTTTCTTTGTTGAGATTAATTCCTTCATTAATATTACTGGAATTATATTTTCAAATCACAGAGTACAATGGCATCTAATGAACTTAAAGTGCATAGATCACAATCTCATACTTATTTTGCTTCCAAATTTATAATTAACCCTATATAGCAGATTTTCAGAAGGAACCAAGCGCTCTTTACCAACATACTATCCATTTCTTTTATTTAAGTCTTAAGTATTTAATTAGAAAAATTTGACTTCTAATCTGTTGGTTTCTTAATTTAAAATCTGTAAGGTCAGTGTGGAACTGATTTAGAAGCTCTTGAATACCTTTACATGTGAACTGACAATAATTTTCATTTCTTTAGAGGGAATATCCAGGTCCTGGGAGTTCTAATCCTGTTCATTATCGTTGCCTATAAAACTAATGGGGGTATGATTCAGAACACAGTAGCATCACACTTTCTTCCCTTCTCTTTCTTCTTTTAGAGAAATGCATGATAGGATATTTTTGCAGCAATCTAGCTTTCAACTATAGAAGGGCCCAAACTCCTCTGCCCTGATACACTTAATTTCAATATCTGGTGCTTCTACAGTAGGACCTGGGTACATTTAAACTATTCTATGCTCTTAATTCTGTTCCCTAAAAGCATATACACAAAGGGAAATCACATAACCCAATTGAAAGGACTTAGTTTCCTTATCCTATTTGGTCTACATGCACCACCTGGTGGTAAAGTAGTACATTTCAAATGCAGTGTGTGTGTGTGTGTGTGTGTGTGTGTGTGTGTGTGTCTTAAAATGGGAAAGAGAATTTTAATATACATTCTTAAATATTGATTTAGATTACCAATGCAATTATTCTGTGACAAATATCTAATAAAACACCAGAAAACAATTATATATATGCTAGAACAGGAAGTAAAGGGGAGAACACTTAATGCTGGAAAGTAAAATAGCTTTCTTATTTACATTAGCTATAACTCTTATAATTCCATCTATAAATTAACATTTATTTATTGTGATAATGGTCTTATGAGGCAAGAGTCAAATACTGATAATCAATGTAAAACCATTTTCTTTATTTTTAATTTTTAAAAATCATAATTAAAAATTGTGTATCCTTTTCCTTATACAGTAGTTGAAGTTATAAGTCACAGAATTTTAAAACTATAAGGCACCATATAATCACTTAAACGAATTTAACAAATGTAGCAGCTGAGACTCAGGAATGTTAAGTGACTTGTCCAAGGTCATATTTGTAATTAGAGGCCCAGCTCAAATAAGAACCCAGGTCTTCTCATTTTCAGTCTAGAAATATAAGACATATAAATTATATGCGTATACAATGGTGAAATATTTCTGTATGAAGGGATATATACCCTTGCCTCTGTAATATTGTACTTTAGGACACGAAGATGTGAGTAAATACGGATTAGTAGTTTTATTCTAACATTCTGAGTACCAGAGAGTAATAGAAATACATGCATCATAGAGCTATGGAAAAATTTTTCTAACTATTAAAAAGTCCCTTATATATATGTTCAAAGGAATATTTTTCAATTTACATACTACTGCTATGTTGTAAAGACAGTACAAAAACTTCCTTTTTCCCTTCTAACTGCTTCAGACTCGGAGAGCTGTTTCTACTAAGGAGATACCCACTTGTAGATTTAAGCATAAACCATGTTCATAGCTCCCTCTCATGACCATTGAATGAATATTATACAAGTCTCCTTTATTCTCGCTGTTGTATTCAACTAACAGCTCACTGGTTAAGTTTTAATTGCTTCCAATGAGGTCAGCAAAGGTATTTATCGAAAAGCCCTGAATAAAAGGCTCCACACACATACACACAAGCATACACGCACTCACACACAGAGAGAAAATCCTCTTGCCTGTTGATTTATGGAAACAATTATGATTCTGCTGGAGAATTTCTCAGCTGAGAAGTAGTTTGTAGCTACAGTAGAGAGGCTCAAGTTGCAGAAGGCAGACAACAGACATGGAATTCTTGTGTATCCAGCTGTTATCAACAGAACAAGTAAGTTACTGTTATTTGTCTTTAAAAATAATGCTGAATGTTTTCTAGTAGTTTATCTCTTTCTCTGGTTTTAGTACTGAGGAGAAAAGTAAAGTTACCAGATTTTCAAGCCATATAATTATCTATAGTAATTTCACTGTAGAACTTACAGAAAGAGAAGGTTGAAGCTCTCCAGAGCAATTCTGACATTTAACTTGAGAAGTGTGGGCAGTTCAGGAGAAAATAACTGATTAACCAAAACGTAAAAGCATATAACAAAGAAATCTAGGGAGAGCATTTTTACTTTGTTAAGAGTACTCTTAGAACTGAATTTAAACCAATAGCTCTAATAGCATGATGTTTCTTATCAAATAGAACTGGAATGATTGGTACAATCATATTTTGCTTTATCTCTACCAATGCATAACTTTTATAAATTTACATATAGAATGGTAAAGATGTTGACATCCTATGAAGGCTGTTTTAAATGTACCTCCACAGTATACACTGCACTGTATGTTATAATACTATTTACCCACTGAGAGTTAGACATTCAATTTTTCATCTTCCTTTCTCCTCCTGTCCCTATTCTTAATCTCTCATTGCAAACAGAAATCAAGTAGCAAACAGCGTCACAGCAACTGAGCTTCCTACAACCTGTTTTTATAAGGATATACCCGCAGAGTAAAGGAGGAATCCTGTATTGTTATCAGGAACTAGAAGGAGAAGGCTAACAAACTGGAAAGAGCAACTACTCTTTCTTAAATCAACCTGCAGTTCACAGATAGGAAGAGGTCAATGACCTAGGAGCAACAATCAACTCAAGATTTAATTTTCATTATGTTATTCATGAACACCCGGAGCACTACACTATAATGCGCAAATGGATACTGACATGGATCCTGCCAACTTTGCTCTACAGTTCCTGCTTCCACATTATCTGTCTAGTGGGCACTATATCTTTAGCTTGCAATGACATGACTCCAGAGCAAATGGCTGCAAATGTGAACTGTTCCAGCCCTGAGCGACATACAAGAAGTTATGATTACATGGAAGGAGGGGATATAAGAGTGAGAAGACTCTTCTGTCGAACACAGTGGTATCTGAGAATTGATAAACGAGGCAAAGTCAAAGGCACCCAAGAGATGAAGAACAATTACAGTAAGTAATGTCTTTTATTTATAGCACTACTAATGAACCATAACAATCTTGGAAAAGCAAGTGACGTGCTTTATGTTTCCTTTTACGTTTTGGAAAAAAATTAAACCTCATCTTTTAATTTCTCTAAATTTAGATAGTTGGACTGTGTTCCTAAAAACCTCCTGGAACAGGGCAAGTTTACTAATATAGTTGAACTGATAACACAAGTTAGTTTGAAAATATATTCTTCATATCCTAAGTTCAAAATGCTCATAAGTTAAGCAAAATATAAATGGTATTATTCACATTGAAATGTGAATGTATCTGCTAGCAAAACGCATTATGAACACTAATAGAGTACTCAGTAAATAATCACCATAAACCACTTATTAGTTTGAGGAACAGAGAATTTATTTTTAAAAATAATTTTATTTTCTTTGAAAGGATATTTCTGTGATGCAAAATACTTAGTCTGTGTTCAAAAATGCATTCAGTGACTTGTGCAATTGTGAATTGTTATAAAACAGAAGGAAATCTGTGGTATCCTCATTTGTTCATGTCATAATGAGCTTGCATGTCATAATGTTTAATTATTTACCTAAGTAGAAAAATAAGTTCTTCCTAACATTTTATTTATATAAATCTTCTATGCCATAGTTCTATGGTACCTTAAGAGAAAGGTAAATGTGAAGGAAGAAATACAAGTGCGTTGGAAAGATGTTAATTCCATGATTTTTAACTAATAAGCCTTAATTTTCCTCAAGAATCAGTTATTCTTTTCATCTTGAAATATCAAGATTGGATTTATCATAGCATTAAATTTAATGGGATAAAATATATACCTCAACATATATATTAGAATTTAAAAGTCCCTGAGCAAAAATAAATTTTGTTTGTATTACTAGCACTTGAACAATGTTATTATTAAATCATCTTATAATATCATGTGTTAAAGTCAATTGAAAAGGAATGCCTGGGGATGGTGGTGTAAACATTTGTCTAGGACAGTGCCAGGCTGGCCTAGTAAATATTTAAAACTTTTGTTGTTTGTTTAATGAATGGCTTTCAGGCTTCTTAGCTAATTTAACTATAATTGATATAGAATGTTAAGACCATTTTAATGGATTGTGAACAGTTGTGGGTTTATAATTACTGTTATTAATGAAGTTATCATGTTATCCTTAGAATACTGGTCTGATTATACTGATGTTTAGCTAAGGAAATAACTATTTGGAGGAAAGTTATAACTATTTGTGGTTGGCCACTTTTATGTGAGCAACAGAATTTGGCTTATAATAAATTCATTTATAAGTTGAGATTTATAATGGATAATAGAACCTGATGGCGAAGACTAGGTGAAGTTATAACACTTGGGTCCAAACCCTGTCTGTGAATGACTTTGGAACAATTTCTTACTTTTTCCAATTCTCAATTTTTCATCTGTAAGATGTGGGATATACAGATGATCTCCAATATATCTTCTAGTTTACAGCCCATTTTATTTTAAACCACAGAAATTATATAACATAAATGTGAAAAATTTAAGTACTCATAATTATCACAAACACTGAATGAGATGAAAGTGATATTATCTCAATGGTAAGAATGAGCTGTCAGATCTAATTGAAAATTGTAGTAGTAAGTGTCTTAAACTTAAACCCTGTGGAATTCTTCTATATGCTGACTCACTCCTTTTGAATGCTTTTGTCAAATAATAAAAAAGTGAAAAATTAGATATAAAATCCAGTAAAAATGAATAATATGTATAATTATTTGGGATAAAAATATCTACAACTGGAATGCATTCACATATGTAAGTTTTATGTATGTTAAAATTTCTTAAAACCATGAAACATAGGCACTTGTAAATATATACACAAAATGCTAAAGTTATTTTGTAGTCCGAAATACAATTTAGTATAAACCTTGAGTAACCATAAAGCCACTCTGATAAGACATTTCTCCTCTAACACTAACTAATTCTGCAGTAAGAAAAAAAGAAAAAGAAATGAAGTGACCTCAGGATATTAATGGGTCTTGAAGGACTGCTTACTTTACCAGTATTAAGCATAGCTACTCATAAGAATGTAGTTTATAAGATATTGCTGAGATAATGGATTGGAGTGAGTAGAGGAGGTGGAAAATCTGGATGGATACTTCTGATTTCAGAAGGTGTTGGGCTGGGGTAGGTGGATGGAAAGCCAGAAGAAAGAGATGGGGGAATGGTAGGGAGCAGGATATGATAGCTCATGTCTCATATCTTTAGGTAATTTAAAAAGTTACGTAAGCTACCCTGGGTTGTGAAGATCTCATTTCACTCTTATCTTACTTTAGTGGTGTCTTGTGAAATATATTACATTTATATTAGAATGAAATAGCAGAAAAAGTGTACCAAGAAACCCAAAAGAAATAAGACGTATTAGTAGACATATAAGCAAGACCCAACTGTGTAAATGTAGGAACCCATGAGAGGCAAAGAGATGCTGGACCACATTTTGAGTCTTCAGGGGAGAGAAGCTGTTGCTGGAGACCTGGTCCTGAGACTGCATACCATCACCCAGGAAACAAGAAGCCTCTCCTCTCCACTTACTCTCTCTGGTGGCTCCACATTTAGCCTCACAGTAGGCTTCCAGGTGATGAAACCAGAACTTAACTTGAACTAATACTGATAAAAGGGTAATAAAAGCATAAAATGCCCCCACCTCACAAGTAGAATACATATGCTGTTGTGCAGGGAAGCATTAATACCATCATAAAGGGCCTGGCGATGGATGGTCAATGCTTCCACCGCTCTTGTCAGAGCTCTCCCCTGGGAGACAGGCCAGAGGGTGAATTTAGACAATTGTTGGACCAGGCAACCCATCAGCAGACAGAAGCAATCACTCCACACCTGACAGAAATAATACTGCTGTTTAAGTTGGGAATTGAGGTGCCAAATGAGAGACGGCAGCAGTGCACTGGGAACCGGCAACCGCCCTGAGAGACAGATGTGGAACAGAGCTCAGTCTCTCAGGATGGTCTCCTTCCTTTAGGCATCCAATTACTTAAAAGTTTTGCCTTTCCAGCAATGGTCAATATCACCCATGCCTTTTAAGAAAAGAAAAATCCTGAATTGTCATACAGCACTGACCCAAAAAAAAGTATGCCTTACTGGTTATAGTTAAGTTCCAGAGCAAGAAAAGGGTTAGCCATTCTGAAAACTGGCCAATGATTTGGCAATACTCTCTTTTGGATTGTTAGACTGTAACGGGATATGGCCTAACAATTGGCAAAAAGCAAATAAACACAGTGCTGTTGGATTTGACTTTGGCTACAAAATCTTCAGGGACTCAATTGTCAACAATTCTTTGGACAAGCTCCTAATCAACAATAATCTCTGCTAGTAGCTACCAAACATACACATCACCTCTAAATATGGCAAACTTGCTTGTGCTCCAAACAGTTCTGAGCAAGTTAACTCAAAGAACAATAATTCACATAGCCAAAGTAAAAAATAAGAAAACCAGGACAACTCCACCTTTAAAAAATAGATTATGAGGAACGTAGCCATGGAGTTGAACCAACATCCTAGAATTACTGACAAAATGGAATCCTGTAGAACTGATGACCTGTAGTCCCTTAAGTAAATTGTCAAGGCTCTAAGCTATGGGAGATAGGTAAAATTCTGTGGAACAGATTTGAAAATATTAGCTACTTTTGAAAAGTCTAATATTCAAGATTGTTTTTCATCTTATAGGCTCCCTCTTTTGTGGGCTAATGCAAGTGCCTGGCACTTATGAAGTCCTAATAATTTATTGCCACAGGTACATCTCTTATTTATTTTGTAAAGTCTCACCTATCAGTTTCATTCTATGCCAACCCAGAGCATCTGAATATGTGTTTTCCCTCGTTACTCAGCTGTGTCACAACTCTTCAGCCTATAGTTTCAGAGCAATCAGAGACGTAAGTAAACTGGAGAGAATGCAAGAAGCCAGCTTTTAGACATATGGAAGGGTTTCCTTTTCTACACTTTTCTATTTATCAGCCTTGGCTAAATATTGCAATCAGTTGGGGAACTTTAAAAAAAATACTGATGTCAGGTCCTACCCACAAAGATTTTCATTAAATTGATTGGGGGCGCAGCCTGGGCATCGAGAATTTTGCTCCCCAGATAACTCTGACATGTTGCCAAAGCTGAGAAAGACGGGGCTGAGGGATCACATTAGATCACTGGGGAAACCACACACAGCTCAGTTATATCAGAATCTCAAGAAGGTGGGGAGGACCGAGGTATTAATGTTTGTTAAAGCTCTCTGGTGATTTTATTGTGCAGGAAAGGTTGAAAACCACTAACTAATGGAACCAAAGGTTCTAATTCAGCCTGAATCTCCTCAGGTGTCCCAAGAATATTTTTGTACCCTTGGAGGGCTCCAGAGGTAACTTATCCTGCACGATTTTGAAATGGATTTATTGAGGACGTCCTCCTGGGTCCATTTGAACTCTGACAAATCTCAGGGGTTCCAGCATCTGGAGAACTGGCCTGGAAGTGCACGTGATGACAGCTCTAAAGCTTCCATGTAAAAAGCTTTCTTTGGGGAGTGAGTTGGTTGCAGAGATAGCAGGTCCTGTGCCACAGTCACATGATGACAGGTAGGTCCGAGTCTCTCTGACACCTTCAAGCGGTGCTGCAGCAGAGCACCTGTGGTACAGGCATCAGTGCCAGCTCACCTGGCACTTAAATGAGACACTTACGACTAGGAACCCTGGTGCCCCCAAATTAAGGTGTCACTTCCTTTGGCCACCCCACAGAGTTCAAAGCAGTGATTGAAAGAGACAACTTCCAGTCTAGAAAACCCAGGGGGAAAGAAACTACAAGCCTAGAGGGTCCATCCAGGTTAGTGAAAAGGATATGAAGCTAGAGGTTTGTTCCCTTTGTAAGGATGGGATTAAGGCAACGTTTTCATTTTTGGAAGGATCCTAGCCTTCTTCCTCTGTATCAAGTAATTTTGGGTAGCAGAGTAAGTTCTTTTATATCACTATGA